GTCACAGTCAGTATATGTTTTTAGTTTCAATGTAAGAGTAGTGCTGAAAAAATTGCAAGTAAGAAACTACTATAAATTCGACAACTAGAGCCTAGTAAATTGTTGCATTTGATGCAACATAGGTAAGCGTTTAGGTACGTTAGTTCCTTAAAGAAATAGGGGTAGTTCCTAGCGACAGTTATCCGATAATTGTTATTGTGACTGTACCGGTACATTTGCACAAGCTAAGGAACCAAGATGCAGAGTAAGGAAATAGAAAATACCAGTATGCTATCATGTTTTGATAACAAATAGCAAGATGATAAGTTGCAATAGAATGCCTTCCCGTAGAGGACAATTTGGCTGACCAAATCTTTGAGATGCGAGAAACATTGTAGGCTTTTGAGAGTCTAGGTGTTAGACGCATTGGTGATTGGCACTAAGCCAAGTGGGAGATTGTTAGTATATATGTCCTAACGACAATCACTTTTTAGAGATATATGTACTTGATCACATTCAGTTTTATATATTTGATATATACAGTATTACACATTGATGATTAAGTATTTCAATTGTCAATATTTTATTCATAATTGTGTTCCCTTGGACTTATGTTGTCAATAAGTAAGTGGGAGCTTATATGATATAACATAAGGTCCTAAAATAGCCCCAATCAATGATCATCAAGAATGGGATATTGATGATATGCGATAAGATTGGTATGTGGACTGCATCATACTTTTAGAAAGTATAGTTGATCTCACAACTATGAGTTCTTGTAATTCATGATGGTCACATAGATATTTTAGAGAATATTGGCATACCCACCGAGAAATCATTTGATAAGTTCTATTCATGTGTCTATGTGATTATCGGCGTATAGAGTAGTGTAATAGTCCTCTGACTTGAGGTCAATACATACTACATGTGCGGAGTGATGACTTTGACCATGACCAACGCTTGCACTCCAATCAGGGTAGATACAGCATGTGTTGGGTGCATCATGAAGCACATGGAGTAGTAGTTGAGTCAAGAAAGGATTCATTCCTCATAATAGATTAAGAGAGAACATTCTACTTCTCATATTTAGATGGATCATAAATTCATTGGCCAATGCAAAGATATATTCGTTTTGGATATCGAATATGATCGTTATGGATCATCTAGAAAGATTGAGAGATAGAAACTAAGTTATTGGAATAGACACAATATCATGTTCTAGACTTAGTTGAATGTTTATTGAATGAAAGGACCGTATCACTATGAGCTCTATATTATAGGGAGTTTGAATAGTTCTCCCAAACGTCCTTATATATTAAGTTTGTCTGGTAAATCGTCTAGGGATTCTGCTAAGACCTTAATTTGATTAGTGCTTAGTATATAAGACCCTATGGGTCACACAACAAGTGATTATACCTTCCGATTGAATTGTTAGAAGGAGTTAAATATTATTAATTCGATTAAATAATATTTAATTCGTAATACTGGAAATTGATTAAATATTAATTAGATTAAACATATTTAATTTATGAAGTTGAAGGAGAGTTCTGTTTGATAGAATTAATTAAGTGTGATAAATTACATTTATTATACTTAATTAAGATGCATTTTAAATAAATAAAGTTTATACTTTGCTTTACAATTTGGAATTAAAAGCATGGAAAAACTAATGGAGAAATACTAATAAAGATTGAAAGGGGTGTGCAGTCAACTTTCATCTTATTAGTACGTATGAGTGATCATTTTATTTAATTAATTAATTAAGTACAATAATTATTGGGCCTAGTTGGACTAGAACTCATTAATTAGTAAGACTTTCATTGTGATTAGGAAACTAGTTTAGAACTAGTATAAATACATCCTCTTCCTTCATAATAATTGACCAGTTTTCTAGATTCAGTATTACCAGTTTATTTCCTTGCGAAGAGATTTCCTAGCCTTTCTCTATGGGAGATCTAACCGTTCGTTCGGAAAGGAGAAGTCACGTGGATACCTAAGGTCAAGGATTATCACCGTTAGGCGGGAAGATATGTAAGTTCTAACTCAGATATGTTATTATTATCACATTCATTGTTTTGTCATAATCAGGAAATATCTGTTTGGGAAAATTTTAAACTTCCGCTGTTGTACTTTCGAGGTACGTTACATCAATTTCCTAACAGGTTTTTAGGCAAAGCGGCAAATCATCTGCTGGTTTTTTGCTGAGGGATCATAGGGGAGCAGCGGTAGCGGCAGAGGGATTCCCTCTGAGTGGTTCGCCGGATCGGGAAGAGGAAGAGGTGGAGGACTTCAGACAAGCGGTGGAGTGGGTGGTGGCCTTGAATATTCCGAAAGTGGAGGTGGACATTTGTTGTGTGCAGATGATGGGGAGGTGTCTTAGCTGCACGGATGGGCTTCATTGGATATCTGGATTTGGGATGATCTCGGCCCAAGTAAATAAAGCGGTAGTTCTTGTTGGCAAAATGGGTTATCGTGGTCGATTCATTTGGTGGTCTGGGTTTTATATGCCCGAGGAGGTCCGAGGTGCTATTGAGGTAGACTCATGGTCCATTCCCTACGTGGTTTAGTTTTATTCTTCGTTCAGCTTGTTGTAAAGGTTGTTTTTATGCCTTTTTTGAGAGGTTTTGGTTTGGTCCCACTCTCTTCTTCATGTACTTTTTTTGGATGTGATTTATACTATCCGGCAACTGTTCCTCGGCTGTTGCCCCACTAATTTGGGTGGTTTGCCTACCGGGTTTTAGAAAAATTAGACAAGACTGATAATCACGTGATTTGGAAATCATCTTCTAGAACAAGTTTTTAGGCGAGAAATGTGGTGGTTAAGAAGTACTTATACGATGATTGACAATTACACTATGAGATGCACAAATATTATTCAAGTTTAAAAGAACACAATTCCCCATCATGACGTTCTATACAATGACAATAAACACGAGTCAAATCAATCTTTGTCGTATTTCTCAAGAGTCACCAATTATATAGCAAGGTTTTGATAATATTGATTTGTGAGGACAATGATCATACTATCAATGTTGTTTACAAAGAAGTGCTACAAAATTTGTACTATGTTCGCTCATTTTAATGTTTTTATCTTGTGTACTCTTTGGAACATTGTAAACGTTAACATCTCTTCTTAACTACTTTGTATTTTATATGAGACGTCCAAAAAAATAAAGTGGGAGCATTTATATGGGATGAAGGGAGTAACATATTATTTATTCTATAACTCCGTCCTCTTTTCACTCCTTTATACATTACAATTTTGTCAATCTTGAATTTTATTTTTCATCGTTAATATAAACAAAACTTTGTATGATTTGATTGAATTTTGTCTCGTGCATCGCACAAGTGAGAATCTAGTAATATATAAAAAACACAAGTAGAAGTATTAGGACCGGAAACAACAAACAAGCTAAAACGACTAGAAAGCATAGCTCGATCATACGCCTTTGCACCAGTCTTAGAGTCTGACATCTCAATGGAAGCAATTTGAATAGTTAATCCCCATTCGGGCAAATGTAAGCAAGTGGAGAAACCTGCTACAATACTTTAATAAAACAACCAACGGAGAAAGCAACGAAATCAACATAAATAAAAGAGGAAGCCTAGACCCGCCTCCTCCATGTTTTTTAGTCTGTCGACCATCATTGCACCAGCATCCTGATTCTCTTCTTGAAACTCTAGAACATGTCTCCTCTTTGACTCCGCATCCCGGCTAGCAACTACTCCTTTTGTCTTGCTAAAATTGTCTCATTTTACCTTTTTGAAAAATCTCATATATTCCTACTTTTTTTACTTTATCAATTCAATATTAATCATATAGATTGATTTTTCTTCTTAATCGTGCCAACTCTTATCAAGATCTTAGTGGGAGGAAAGTAGTAAGTAACATTATCTTAGTGCTATATAATGTAGGGCTGGATTCGGTTCGGTTCCCAAACCGAAATGGGAAATATCCGAACCAAATCGATCTTTCGGTTTCTTATATTTCATAAACCGAAACCGAACCAAACTTTATTGGGACCCAATATTTCAGAACCCGAATTTTCAGTCCGGTTTTTCGGTTTTTGTGAAAAAACCGAATGGATATTCAATCTTTGTATATTCAAAAGCTAGTATTCATCATCAGGCTTTACTAGCAACTTGATCGTTTGTATCTACGATGGGGCGAATATATAGGCTCATACGAGGACTAAATCCTCTATTCCATCCGGTGTGGGATGAGTTATGTATATTGAAGAAAAACTAAATGGAAGAGTTGGGGCGGAAAGAAAGCAAAAATCAAGGGAATTAGTCGATGGAGGGATTCGAACTTGGGTGAAAAGGAAGAGTTGGCGCGTCACTTGTTCCCGCTGAACTACTTCGGATTCTTGCTACTTAGGGACGCTACATGTATTTAATACATTAAAGTGATACAGATTAAATAAAATCATTGAAACTATTATTAAATAAAAAAACCGGTTCGGTTCGGTTTGAACCGATTTTCAATCTCAAAGAACCGGTTCCGAACCGATTTTTATTCGGGTCCCAACTTTCAGGTCCCATTAAAGTCGGTTCGGTTTCGGATCGGTTTTTTTATCGCTCGGTTCGGGTTTTTTCGGTTCGGTTTTCGGTTTTTCGGTTGAAAATGCCAGCCCTAAGGGCATCCTCATTGGGAGGATATAATACGAGATTAAATTAGTGACATGACAGTTTTTTTAGAGAATTATCAATGAGTGACATAGATTATTTAATAGGATTATTTGCTACAATAATCTGGGATCAAAATATGAATCCGGATTATTTTAAGATTATTTGAAAAGTATATGTAATAGAGATAAATGCAGGACAGAGAAATAACAGATTATTTGAAGATGATGATTGAGAGACATAAACGAATTTTGAGATTATTTTATAATTAATTACATAACAATATTTAAATGGTAAGAATCATATACGAGTACAAAATTGATTATTAGAAATCATGAATGGAGATGCTCTCAGCGTATATAAGCTAAAATTATCTCTTTTTCATTAATACGGTTGCGAGGCGACTTTGTGATTTCAATTTCCTCGGGGCTCCGGTTACCCCCACCCCATCTCGCTCTCGGCTCACCGTACACCTGCTTTCTCTCTCAGAAATTAGGGTTTTGCTTCGTCGGCAATGGCTCCCATTTCAGACTCATCTGAAACCCGAATACATCAAGAATAGCAGGGAATAGGTCTATACTGGATGATAAGTGCGCGGCCGGCTGTTCTGGTTTTGTATTTTTTTGACTTTTTAATTGTGCGAAGGAAATGGAGTTGAATTCAGGTAGTAGCGGGATGGCCGCTGCAGAAAATGGTGCTCCCTCGCCTCATCCACCCTATCCGGCGCCTATGCCTATCACGAACGCTCCTCCGCCGTTCCTGGTGAAGACTTACGACATGGTAGAGGATCTGAGCACAGATAAAATCGTGTCCTGGAGCCCTACTAACAACAGCTTTGTTGTATGGGACCCCCCGGAGTTCGCCAAGGACTTACTCCCTAAGTACTTCAAGCACAATAACTTTTCCAGCTTCGTTCGCCAGCTGAATACTTATGTATGTTATTCAGTTTGTTTCTCTCTTTTCTATCTGACCATTCAATTGGGAGGAATTAGGCTGTCAATCCCTTTTTGATATTGTGGTGACGAATCAGAATTTTGTTTATTCTCTGTAACTAGTGTAGATTCTGTAGAAATTAGGAAAGTACCTATGATACTGCATGAATTTCGAATGACTTGAGTCACCTAGTACATAGCTAGCCAGTTAGGTGTTCCTGAATGCACTTAAAAGTGATTGTAAAGAGTAAAGACAAGCACTGTAGTGTAATGATACCGCTCTTACTTTCCGGGGGTGGGGGGTGGTTGTAAAGCACAAGTTCGAGTGCCATCCAATCCATGGTTGGCAGAATTTTATCTATAATGTCAAGTAATAAATTAATAGGTAAGAGTCCATGTTAAAAACCAGTGGCTATAAATAAAGGAAGGCACATTCATCTACGTTTTCAATGTTAATGTTATTTCTCTTTTTTCAGTTGTGCTATATCTTAAAGACTTGAATTTTTCGAAGGTAATATGACTTATAAGCAAGTGGTCATTGATTGTTTTTTTTTGGCTTTGTGATGACTTGTTTTTTCTCACTGTGAAGTCTATCTCTTGATGTTTTTCTCCTTTGTGGAGCACTCAAATGTAAAATTTTAGCGTATTTATGTGATATTTGTAGGTTTTAAAATTTAACATAAAGTATTAAAGTTTTTAAAGAAGTGAAGAAATTTGTAATTCCTTTCGAGTTTCATAGGTATTGTTAGAGCATTATATGTAGGCAGTACCGCAGTAGTGATACAATTTGAAGTTCCATGAACTCATGAAGACCCCTTGGTGCTGTTTTGGTCTCTATTTTGCTTTTATGAATGTATTACTGTCATTTGTTGTTGTATGTTGCTCTTTTAGATTTCATAACATAATATGCAAACTTGCAAAGTTCTGCATCTCTTTAAGCTTTTGATCTGGAATTTAGTTGGAACTAATATCTTCAGGCTTGTTTCACTAATTAATTAAAACCCATGTATTCTTTGAATGCCAACTTATTTGTTGAGTCTTCTTTGGATGCACATTATTTAGCTTGTTGACTGAAGCTATCTGCACATTGTCTCGTATCTTATGTATATATTTATGAACTTATTTGTGTGGACAATAGGGATTTAGGAAGGTTGACCCAGACCGCTGGGAATTTGCTAATGAGGGGTTTTTAAGGGGTCAAAAGCACCTGCTTAAAAACATCACTCGGCGAAAGCCTGTTCATGGACAGAATCACCCGCAGCAACAACCACAGGGACAGAAGAGTTCATCCATTGCGGCATGTGTTGAGGTTGGGAAATTCGGTCTGGAAGAGGAAGTTGAGAGGCTGAAGAGAGACAAGAATGTGCTTATGCAAGAACTTGTCAGGTTGAGGCAGCAGCAACAGTCCACCGACAGTCAGTTGCAAACAATGGCCCAGCGACTTCAAGGCATGGAGCAGCGGCAACAACAGATGATGTCGTTCCTCGTGAAAGCCGTCAACAGTCCTGGGTTTCTGGCACACTTTGTCCAGCAGCAGCAAAATGACATCAGCAATAGGCGCATAGCGGAAGGGAACAAGAAACGGAGGCTTAAATCGGACGATCAGTCTGTTAGCCCTGCCGATGGTCAGATTGTAAGGTATCAACCCATGATAATGAAAATGGATTCTCCTCCTCCCCCTCCCCTTGGGCTAGACAGCTTTGTGATTGGTGATGTATCATCTCAGTCTACTGATACATTTATTGACCATGACAAGTCACCCAGCTGTGATTCACCAACGACTATGTCTGAGATTCAATCTTCCCCACTTCTTGTCAAGCCTGCCGCTGACACGACAAATGAGCAATTTGTAGATATGATGATTCCGGAGCTTTCTCAGTTACAAGAGATTGTTGGATCTGAAAGCAATTTGGATATGGGTCCCACACCACTGGATGGGAAAATGGACTTACAGATCGACAGTTTTTCTCCCGATCCGCAAACAGAGTGGCAGAATGCTCTAATGGATGACGATGTACCTCTTGACACATCCTTCTGGGAGAAGCTTCTTCAGAGTCCACCTTGTGTTGAACCTGAACAGGTGGAGGAATCGGTCGCATTTGAAGATCCCAAGGACGGTGACACCAAAACAGGTGAAAATGGATGGGACAACATGGAACAGCTTACCAAACAAATGGGGCAGCTAACTTCCGAAGGAGAGAAAGGTCAGCCCTCTCTAAACGATTGTACATGATTGAGGCCTTTATAAATTATAACCAAGTAATGGTCATGACCAATTTTTCTTCTTGTTAATCTAGCATATTATCATGAATTTCTTAAATGCTAATGCCTTGATATGATGATGATGATTTTTATTGTTATTATATTACCATTATTATATTACCATTATTATCATTGTTATTATTATTGTTGTCGTTGTTCTTACTATTGTTGTTTTACTTTATTATTATCAAGAAAGAACAATTTGTTGCATCTTATTTTTTTCATTTTTGGGATGTTTTGACTTTATTAGAAGTACCCAATGTCGGAGCGTTTACTTAAGGTGTATTGGGATCCAAATAGGTTGATTATGATGATGAATCGAAGATTCGTTGATGTTGTGAATGAAACGAAACTCCACTTTGCTGTGCATATATTTTGTATTAGAATTTTTTAAAACAACAGAGCTCTCTACCCCAAATAGTATCTCTTGTTTGACTTGTTAAGTTTATTAGAAAAATGAAATTATTAATTGAGATTTCATTCATCATTTTCATTTACCCCAGTGCCGCAAAGGCTCCCACCTACGGTGGGGTAGGGGGGTCGGATGTATGCAGTCTTACCCCTGCACTAAAGCACAAAGAGACTGTTTCCGGATGACCCATAGTGAAAATCGCGTCCAAAATTACATGGACTGACTGCTGCTCCATAACAAAGAAGCGCAAACAGTTTAGTGAGCCATTTTGCTTTATTCCATCATAATCTCAAGCCAAAAAATAATGAATCTTTGGCTCCATTGCAAATGATGGAAAATAATATATATATCAAAAGAAAATAATGAATCTTTGGTTACATTTCAAGAAAATAATGAATCTTTGGCTCCATCATTAATTGAGATTTATATGAATCATACAAGAGTTGTGCTAGCACATTTTGGTGTACACCTTTTCTACATCAGTCTGTCTCACGCACACAGAATTGTTTGTTCACAAACAATTCTACATAGTTGTTTGTGGACAAACAATTCTGTGTGTGTGAGACAGACGAGTGTACAAAATGTGTACACCAAACATTTTTCGGGAGATATAACCTTTGTTGGGGTATTGGGTGCAACACGGGCAAGCCCAAATACTCCCAGCAGCCCAACCAATGCAAAGGGCCCTATCCCCATTTCTAAGATACTCAAATATCATTTGGTATGACCGCTCGGGGCGGGTTGGTGGGGGCTGATTTCAACACTTAGAGGCTTAGAGATTTCAACACTTGGTGGGGGCTACCTATTTGCTAAGAGCTTCACAAGATAATTGGCGGGAAATTTAAAATTGGTGGGAGATTTATGGTTGAGGGTTATTCGGAGCTCCACATGATGCCCCCACAGCTAGGAATTTTGCCCACATGATTTTTTCCTAGCAAAGGCGTATGCATTTTCCAAACCAACAAAATGTTGAAGTCAACTAGATTCTCACTCGTGTGATGCACGGATAAAAATTAAGCATCAATTATATTTTTTTACTTGTTTACATTATTAGTCGTGGAGTATGCAGGAATTCACGATAGGAGGAACGGTATTGTAAAAAAAGTATACAATTACTTACTCCCTCTGGTCCCAAATGGAATTCACACTTTCCTTTTTAGATAGGTCCAAAATAAACTTCACACTTCTTCTCTCTTTCTTATTTGACAAATTATCTACATCAAAACAGTGCAAAACAGTGTCAAACGGTGCCAAACAGTGTCACAACAGTGTACTCTACAGTAAAGTCAAATTTATTTCCTTAATTTGTGTGAAGTCAAAGTGTGAATTTCATTTGGGACCGGAAGGAGTATATATTAAAATTTTCAAGTAAATATATCTAATAGAAAAAAGTTTCTAAATGAGTCATTTACAATTAAGAACTAAAGGAAAGACTCAAATTTTTAGTTGTTTTTCATATAATTTTTTCTTTATTTTATTAATAAAATATATTTTAAATATATTTATTTCATAAATCAGCGGAATCAGACAATCCAATCACTTCAACATGAACTTCATAAATTTCAGTCGATACAGTCGATTTGGGTATTATCAAACGGGCTCCTAAATAAGCAATTATGTATAAAAGAAGTATATAAATAAGAATACTCCGTATAAGATAATCCAAGTTTATGTCCTTGTGTTTTAATGATTAAGCATTATTTTTGTACACTTTATATGTCACCACCATTAGTATACATTTAGCTAGTGAATTTAGTGTTGTCCTTGATTTCAACCAATCTTTAAAAGAACGTGTGTTTTGTGTTGTGTACCAGTGATTATGTATGAACCCGGAATCCTTGAAACATGCGGTCCAAATGTGTCATGGTTAATAAAGCTCAAAAAATATAGACCACGTTAAAACACATCACAAAACATTCACGTTACAACATTTTAGGCAACAAAATAGGCAGATTAGCTTCTAAATATGCAACAAAATCCTTGCAATAGAATATCAGTTGTGCACGGTTAGCCATTTGTTTCATACAAAAAAGACCAAGATTTTTCTGAAACATGTAAAATTGCACCAAGAAATCTGAAACCCTACACATTTCTTCCATTGCCCTTCTTAAGCAGCGAGTAGTCAATCATCCTAATCTCCTCACAAAGTTTCATGAAAGGTGTTGTACTTGCACAACTGGTTGAACTGGAGAATAATGCGGCATAATGATGTCTCAAGGTAGAATTTCAGTTTTTCATTGCATTGCCGGTTCTTCCTGACAAAAGTTGTGCAATTGTTGCCTATTTATTTCTGTGGACAGCATGTGCCTGGATGGTCATGAGATCTTCTTCCTCAGTGGAGGCGGCAAGACTTCCGCGATCTACCTGTTCCTCGCACAATCAAGCTCCAATTCCCAGGACCAAAGCTGACTCACATATCAATTTTACTGAGTATTGCATCCCCCTCCTGAGACCATGGCTCTTTCACTCGGTCCGCCGCCCTCTTACTGCTCACTTGGTCGTTGTTTCTGCTGCAGTCATCCAAAACCATCAGCTCATCGTCTTCCTCACAAGTACCGTAAGAGTCTTTGCTAGAAATTATTTGTTAGGCTCAATGTATTTATTTAATTTAATTTGTTAGAAATTAAATAAATACTCTCTAAGTAACTATTCTGATTTAATACATATAATTTCTAAATACATATAAATTCTAAAACATGTATACTATTTCTCGGTACATGTTAACGAATACTATTTTAAGGACTTCAACATACCTTCGGATCAAACGACAGCCTCATCCAAAATCTGCTCGTGTTCTAAAGAAATAATACTCATTTAATTACTCTAAAATGTAATAAACTATTATATTACCTTCTCAAGATCAGAAGCTCCAGCCCACATTAGCTATTGCCATCTCATACTCGCCAATCCCTAGACTCTGATGGCTCCCACCCGCCCCATTGATTGTGGCGCCATCTTGCTGCTGGTCACGGCAGTTGAAAAATGAGAGCCCCAGGTCCGCCGTCCCCGACCTCAAGATTGGGAAATTGGTAGGTGAGACAACACCGGGTTACGAGCAGCCTCAATTAGCGGTCACCGCCGTCTTGCTGAGTCAAAGGCCGACAGTGCGTCTGTGGCCTCCATGGGTCGCTGCAACATATGTGGCACTGCTAGCGCCAGTCTCCCGATGGGCTACCTCCATGCCAAATCGCCACTTGAATTTCAAAAGCCCAGATGAAGCAAGTAGTCGTGAGATCCTTCTGATTTCAGATGAACCCTTTTTCAGGCATGGAAAACCAAATAAATTGAGAAGCAATAAGTCTCTGACACCTCTCATTTTATCGAAAAAGAGATTTGCGATCTTAATAAAGCAGATTTCAATCGTATATAACATGCAACTATCGTCTTTTTTTATAATGCAGGTGTCGGGGTTTACGCTCTCATAATCCTGAAGTCTATGAACTACCCTCCAAAGCCCCTAGACAGTTAAGTCCGGATCTGATCACAGTCAGTCTCGTCAGTACTGGCTCCAAAGGACGAATCCAGCAGGACTTACATCACCTTTCAGGCTGCTCCTCCCACCACACGAACCCACTACCTTCATTACCATCCTCTCCCTTCTCAGACGCTGAGCAACTACGTGAAGGTAGAAAGAATCATTGGGAGCAAGACCTTCCCTCATCTCCCTTGGTGGGAATTGAACCCAAGACCTCCCATAAAGGAGAGACTTGAGGGTGGATGGTCATCCATTGGACTACACTCACCTTCCCCATGCAACTATCATCTGACCTCATATGGTGCGGTATGAATGGATTGTATGACAGCTTTTAAAATTGCATTTAAGCCACTGCCCGTACAATAATTGAAGCAAGAGAGCATCGGAAACCCGACCCAAGTTGTGACATGTGTCTTTAGGCGGGAAAGTGAACTGATTTCCAACTCCCTTTTGTATATACTACCTCCATCCCATAATTTACTTCCAAAATAAAGTGACACGCAGATTAAGAAAGTGAGAATTGTGTGGTGGAGAGTTATGCAAAGGAGAGAAAAATGTTGTGAACCACAAATTCTTTGCCAAAAAAGGAAAGAGAAGTTCTTTTTGGGACGAACGAAAAGGGAAAGTTGGAAGTATTTTCAGGGACGGAGGGAGTAGTAAGATAGCTAGAAAATAAAGGATGACACCTCATCTCTGAGGGTCCCCCAACCCCGACCGGACGGTATATTGGGAGGATGTAAATTGGACTATAATCTCAATCTGACAGATAGAGAGTGTGACTCTGTCCTCGGTACTTGCAGAGCCCCTATGCATTTTTTTAAGATAGCTAGCAAATCAGGAGATGCTCAAGCTACTCAAATCACCTCAAAGAGTTGAGTAGCTTTTAAGATAGGGAGTCCATCCGAACTGGATGGGATACTTTTAAGAGTGCTTCTTGTTGTACCCATTTTGTAAACATCCCTTATTTTGTCTGTGTACATAGACAAAATGTTGTCTTCTTCTTAACGAATTGTCTGTGCGCACAGGCAAAATAGGGGGTGAGTACAAAAGTGGATACAAACAGATTTTTTGTACTTTTAATGATTTCAAGGCGATCAGCTAATAGCATAGTTTTTTCAAGGGGTGTGATACTTTTAAATCTTATGGAGTACTCCCAATTTAAGATACTTTACACTTATTTCTCAAACTAGACAATGAACTCATGCGTTGCACAGGAAAAATCTAACTCACATTACTCTAATAAAAAAGAGATCGAATGAATATTGGATACTACCTCCGGCCCGGGTAACGATCCCAGTTGAGTTTACGATATTTGACAGGTCATAAACTTAACTGATCCTTGTTAATAATAAAATTATTTTAGTAAATAAAATTTACATATTCAAAAATTACATTAAAAGTCTAGTAAAGTCGCAAAAAACTCAAATTTGATAAATATTGGATATAGTAGTATAAGGAAAAAGGTTTTAAAAATTACATTAATTTTTATCAAATTTTTTTATTTCATTAATTAAATATATTTTAATTACGGAGTATAACTTTTCTATAATTTAGCAGAATTAGAAATTTAACCAGTTTAGTCAGAATTTCATAATTTCAACAGTTTTAACGATTATGTCAATTGCAATGTTACTTAACGGGGTCTTATGAATAAGTATACTTCACTTCACTTCCATGGATGCCACTTATGAGAGAATGAGCTTTCATGGGTGTTTTTTAGAGGGGTCAACAAACCAGTTCGGTTTGAGTTAACCAAATTGTACCAAATTGAACCGAAATCAAATCATACACAATTTCATTTGAATTTAGTGGTATGTCTTTCAAAAAAAATTAAATCAATCTAAAACAAATTGAGACCGTGAGAAATCGAATAAGGGTGAGGTGGATGAAATAGTCAATAAATTCTTAATATGTTTTTAAACATAACAAATTTAAACCTAACCGAACTGAATTATTCCGAACTAAACCAAAACATAGTATGATTCCAATTTGTTTCAAACTGAATCAAATTGATATTAAAACCAAATTGAAACCGATGTGCTCACCCTAGTATTTTTTTAATATAAATTTGTTACTCAATGAGTTTTATTTTATAAGAGAAATAATTCTTTTTAGACTAAAAAAATATGTTTTTTTAAATTGAAGAACCTAATTTTTTACTTTTCTGTTTTATTTTATCTACATTTTTATCCACTTAATTTTTGTAAATTCGGGTTACTTTTTCATATCCATTGAATCTATAACTTGTAAAGATGAGATATTCTATGTACGTAATTACAAATTTGAATATTTTTCTAGAATTGTAATTGGATTCAAGTAATTATGGATGTTGATAATGGTCTCCTTAATTTGTTCAAACTTTATGTGTATTTATCCTTGTGATCGCATACATGTGGTACGACAATATATATGGTTAGGGGTGTTCACCAGTCCAAAACCGGACCGGACCGTTCCAGAAACAGAATCTGAAATTTATGAGGACCGAAGACCGGACCTATTACAAACCGGTCCAGACCGACCCGGGCCTGATTTTTCCGGTCCGGTCCGGTTTTGACCCTAATTAACCCGATTTTTAAAACAAAGACATAATATCATAGACTTTTATTTCGAACAATAATCTGATGTGCAAATCTGCGTAGTGAATGTTTAATTCATATATCAATATTAGCATATAAATGTTTAGTTCTGTAGTGCACACTACAAACTAGCACACTGTATTTATGGTCTTGAAATCTTGCAGACTGCAACTTAAGAAACAGACTTGAGAATATCATAAAAATATATAAACTACAATCATAGACCATATTGCACACCTATAGAAAAGGTATTGCATAAAAAACAAACTGCGTTTTGGTTTCAAATCATAGCAAATCAATTTATGAAAATCTAGTTTTGCAAAAAACAAAACATACTGTTACTAACTTTAAAAAGATACTATGAACGTATCTTGGGTTTCCCTAATTTAGGTCGTAAAATAAATGGGCCACCACTACAAGCCCTAAAAACGAAAGATTTTTTTTTTGGAAAAGTAATTTAACGGGCCACCGGTCCGGACCTGTATTTTTCCGGGTTTGACCCGGACCGGACCGGAATCTGGAATCTTAATATTCTAAAGACCGAAACCCGGACCGGTTAATACCGGTCCGGTCCGGTTCAGGTCTGAATTATGGTCCGTCCCGGTTAATGAACACCCCTATATGGTCCATAAAATACATATCTTCATTATAATTCGAGTAAATTTAATGTTGGTCGAAAATTGTTCATCGCAAAAAGTCGATTTTCTTGTAGTGGATTGAATTGTATGCCTGCTTTGATTATATTATTATAAAATTGATATACTAAGTTATTGTAGCTCAATTTTAGTAAAAAAGTTTGATGGAGTATATGGCACAGGGCCCCTTGGCCCACATACTTCCACTACTGCAATCAGGCCTGTTGAAGGTAAGTCCCGTAGATCCGAAAGCCAACACGAACTTTGGATATATCAGGAATGGTACAGAATCAAAGTGTATAACCCAATATAAAATATGAACTCACTAATACTCAAAAGCCCACTCGTATTAATTAACATGTCTGATTACAAGGAAATTTCCGATCGGTAGGTCGGAATAATGCTTTAATACAAGAAATAAGAGCAATAATGATATTCTAGAGCCTGAGTATTGAAATGCTAACCCTTACAATGATTTTAAACCTTCTATTTATACTAATGGAGAGCATGGGCTGCTCTATGCTGATTGTCTGTTGTTCCACCGACTTGGTCACCCATGTTTCCACTTGCTGATGTCACAATCTGGTATTAATTGCACCTGGCCACTTGCTGGTTGTCTGTTGCTCGAACGGGATGTCGGACCATGCTGAAGATGCTGTCAAATTGGCCCAAGTATGATATATAGTCCGAACTCCGTTCGGTACATCTTCTTTTTGGGTCGGCCCTTACTTGGGCCGAACCTCGTTCGACATGAATTCTTCACTGGATCTACTCATCATAGAGTGATGGGCTCGTTGTTTGGGCCGGGTATCTTGGGCCTTTTTGATCCGGGTATTGGGCCTCTAGATCAATATCCCAACACAAGTCCCCCACTTCCAATGTCTCGAATGACAGTGAGTGCATTAGGAAGTATGAATACCAATGTTGCAATTTGCCGAATGGCGATCGGGGTACAGAAGTAATCAGTTCCCCATACTGTGATTTGACGGCTGTCGTTTTATTTCCCCATATTCATCATGATAACCGTCGTTTAGTCTTTTCATTAGACACGCGTCTAGCTTAAATGCTTCAAGTGACGTGTCGCTCCCTGATTGGTTCTTGACATGGCGGTTCAAAGGCTATAAATTAGCCTTTAATTTTTCAAATCCGGGTTTCGATTCTGCAATTTTCTTCGCCTTGCTGCTCTCTGAAATTTTTCCCAGCTTTCTTCGCTCAGGTACTTTCCCTCCCTTGCTTTCTCGCCTCATCCCTGACTCGGTCGAGATGAATTCCCAATGGTGTTCTGATTCGGAAATGGCTTCTCAAGGGGAGGACCGTGATGTGGAGATTATCACTGTCCCTTTTGATGAAGGTTCCAAGGCGGCGAAGGCGGAGGTTAGGGCGGAGACGGGTGACTCCTCCGGCAGCTCTTCTTCCTCCAGCGAAGATTCCGTTGATACCAAGTCCGAGGATGAACTAATTTCCATGGCGGCCGGACGTCCCAACGATTTCCCTCGCCATACCCTTGACCTAAAACTGATTAGGGAGAGGCGTCAAAAACTGACCTCCCACAATAGGGCCGAAATTCCGGCCCTAATCCCAGACCCAGTGAATTTCCGACTGCAAGCTGGGCTTCACCCAATGCGTCATAGGCCCGGGATGGTTGTAGTTCATTTTGACTCAATTAGGGCCGGGCTTAGGTTTCCGCTACATTCTTTTTTCATTTCATTTTTTAATTTCTATGAAATTGTACCGGCCCAAATTATGCCAAATTCCTATCGGGCAATGGCGGGTTTTATTTGCCATTGTAAAGATGTCGGTGCCCGACCGACCTTAGATCTCTTCCATCAATTTTTTAAGGTAGCCCCTCAACAAACCCACGGCTATCTGGCCACTAGTGCCTGAACGGGACATATTCTGTTCAAGGGCAATCCAACTTCAATCAAGGGGTGGAAAGACCGGTTTTTCTTCGTGTCTGTCCCGGACGGCCTAGTTCCCCGCAAATGGAATGCCTTCCCCCGCAAAACTCCTGATCCAGTCCTTACTGAAGAAATTTACAAGGACGTGCTTGCTGTGGAGAAAGATAAATGCATGGATATCATGAGTTATCTGACTCCCGATCGGCTAGTTGAAGCCGGGATAGGTACTGCCCGTTCTCTTGGGTTTACTTGTTTTGAGAAATCAAGTGCCATGGTTCAGGCGGTCCTTCCCGTGCGAGAAACGTTCTCTTTTACTTTTTTCTAGTTTCTCACACGCTAAGGCCGCTCGGCACTAACATTTCCCTTTGTTATTTTTCAGCACCAAATCCAGACTTACCCATGGATAACAGCAGAGTTCTGGCAGCTGGTGGGGTTGGCAAGCGTAAAAAAGCCAGGAAGAACCCCCAACCTATTCCCTCTACTGTTACTGCTCAGGATGCTGGGTCTTCTCAACCAGTTCCAGAGTCACAGCCAATACAACAGGTCCATCAGGACCAATTCGATGCCATGCTGGTCGATGATCGGTTTGGTTCTGATCAATTGCAACAATTTCCCGAGCACTTCCAAGCTACTCAAGAAACCAGTCAGGGTGCGGGTTATATACCCACCGTCCAGCTGTCTGGCCAGGTTGACCGGATCTCACTAGCGGATCCGGTTCATGATGTTGTAGAAAGAGGTGGCTGCTCAGCAAGCCAGATTTGGTCTACCTCTGCCTTCTTCAACAATTTCACCGTCCCCAAGCTGTCGGTCGAGCAATCTGAGGAATGCTTGGCCTTAGCAGCTCTGAAGGTACCTTACCATTTCATAGTTTAAATTTCTCATAGTTT